TGCATCTGTTCTACAAGTGGTCGAACGCTCGACGAAAATGCACCATGACAACTTGAGTCTGGGCTCAAATTGCAAATAATCTCAGTCGTGAAAATGACTGCCCAGTGGCATCAATTAGGCCACAAATAACCTTAATAGCCTTCCACGTTTCCGTGGATGTGCAGTCGCCTGCTAGGATTCTAAGTTTAAACTCCAAAGCGAAACTAAACTAACAATTTCCCTCCCGAAAATTCGATCAGTAGGGTGCCACCCCCAAGTTACCTTGAATATTCCCGATCGCAGATAAGAGAATGCACGTCGTGGCTGGATTGATAGAGCGTTGGACACAAGTGGTGTATCCATAAGGACACTTCGGAGGAAATCACAGATTCTCCAGGCCTGAGGTTGGGTCAATTTTAGGTGATGATGATGAGGACGACGACGGTGATATTGGTGATGAAGACGGTGATTATTATAATAACGAATAGGCCGGACATGGCCACTTCAATCTCCAACACATTTGTCGGTATACCCTCCATCTATGTAGTTGCAGCTGATGTTGTCAGGGTGTTTGCTTGTGGGGTGCAGTATGTGGACTACGAACTTAACGGCAGCTTCGAAACAGTTTTCCACCATCAGTGCCAGTTTAAACTTCATGACTCTATGTATGTACTTCACGCACGTCAGACTAGGACTTACATACACCTCCGAACGACCGTTCAAGTGAATGGTTCACACACAGCGACGAATTTTCTCCTGTTGAAATTTAGAAAAATGAGCGAACCGTTTTGGTCCATTGATTTTCAAACTTGAGACAACATAAACACGGTCTTTAGGTAACCACAGCTGTGTTTGTAGCTTTAGTCCTATCGCTAGTCCGTTTCATTTAAAAGCTTAAGTCATTTAGTCTATTGACCCGTTTAAATAATATTTAGAATTCATTATCGAGCCGATGGTGAACATAACAAGCTGCTACCTAAAACGTGTCTTATTTCGGAATGCGTCTTTATGCAAAGAGTGACATTTAAGCGTCCTCTTTTCAAATTTTCGCATAAATATGTGTTTGCCATGATTCTTTCTCTTGTTTACTGCTTTCTGCTTTCTTTTTCAGATGGCTTCTTTAGACCTTCCTGATCATCACACGTTTCTACCTCCTGCGCTGATAGTCCTAGTAATATTTTACCTCCAGCGTACTTCTCCACCAGTTCTGCCAAATTTGCAGGAGATTGCGCGTCTACATCGAACAACCCTGCCTGCAGAGGCTGTTGAATTGGTATGAAATTTTGAATTTGCATTGCATTGCTTACAGGTA